ATCCATCCCTCATTGCTCAGTAGTCTCTCTCCCTCTGTTCTGTCAATTCAGTCCATTCCCCTGGCTTTTGGAATGCTGTCAGACTGGTTAGGTGACTACCAGAGATTCCATCCATCCATCCATCCCTCATTGCTCAGTAGTCTCTCTCCCTCTGTTCTGTCAATTCAGTCCATTCCCCTGGCTTTTGGAATGCTGTCAGACTGGTTAGGTGACTACCAGAGATCTTCCTTTCCTCAACAACTTAAGTATTTCACTGCACATGCTTGCACTATTTACAGCTACATTTCTGGCATGTATCGAGGGATTGGTTTTGGTTTTAAACATTTGGCAAGCCCAAAACAAAGATGACATTTTTACATATGCCCTAACACACGCTGGGTGTTACATACAAACCATTCGTACTGAAAACTCAGACACTTTTTAAAGGCAGCTTGTGCAAGCTAACTCAGCTTTCACGTGGACAGATACAGTTGTTGGCTTTCAGTGCTGGACACTGCTATTTCAGCTTTTGTTCTGAAAGAAACAAACCAGTCAAACCACTGTYAACTTAGCCAAATCGAAATTAGAAAGGAGAACAGCTTAACTCMTATTAATAAAAATCACAGAACTGAATGAAATAGCTTTTCTTTGGGAAAAATTCAGTGGCTCACTCTTTGGGAGATACTTAGATGACAAAAATAATCTGCCAAACAGGAATTACTCAGGGAAGTTGACAAGCAGTGCTACAGCATCTCACAAAGGCACACCCAACACTGCKACCTTCAGGCAACGATCCCACGCTTGCCACCTCCTGGGCTCGGAATATTTCAGCTCCAGAAACCTTCAGCAGAATGTGAGCGTAATTAAGTGTCAGGGAAAGGGGAGTCAGAGAGGGATCTTTTCCTTCAGATGAAAAGTTGCAGTGTTGGTTCTGCTGCACAAAATCTGCAGCCAGAGGCAACAGAGAAAATGAATTGCTTCCCTTGGTCCTGACATCATCTCACGGATGCTGCCTGTAATTACCAACTGCTCCCAGTACAGCTCTCCAGGAGCTTGCAGCCTGGGACTCCGTATCCTGGACCAAACCAGGGATGACACRGCTCTTTCACAGGGTGACAGTGCTCCAGGCCAGCTCACACCACCAACACCAGGCATTGCTGACCATGGCAGAGCCGCACTCCTGGTGCTCTGCTGCTCCTGGTGCTAATAGTGCAAAACTTTTCATTCTTTTAAAGACAGAATCGGGTGCCCTTCACTTCAGGTTTTTGGAGACATGCATGATTTTGAAGCACTGTGACAGCATATTTATACTACCAGTTGTCAAGAGCTTCAGTTGAGAAAACTTCCTTGAGGTTTTTTCTAAACATTTGAATTTCATTGAGGTACCTGTGCAAACAGAGATCRCTTCCTTTCACTCTTCCAGGGAGCAGAAATCCCACTTGGTCCCATCCTGCCTTCAGCTGCTCCCTGCAGGGCCATTCCATGGACATGTCCATGKACAACTGTTTATAAACCACTTCCCTGGACTGCAGGAATCGCAGCTGAGCCAGAGGTGTCTCAAAGCAGCAGCTCAGACCGTTGGGTTTTGTAATTATTTGTGTTTATTGTCTTCTCCACACAATCTGAGTGGGTCAATGAAGCAGTAGTTCATGATTACAAAGGCTGCAGCCAGTCAGGAGGGAATTTTTATGTCAATTCCTTGAAGGGAAACTGAATTCSAGGAAAAGAGTGCTTTTGGAATTAAACCGCTTCTGTGCTATGAGTACATGATTTATTTTTTAAACTTAAGAAACCAATAACAGACAAGTTTGGTTTGGTACCAAACACTCTATTCAGCTCTAAACATAGCCCCAGACAAGCAGAGTCTTGTTTAGGTCCCTGATAACAACGTCATCACCCCAAGCCTCTCCCCTGTAGGCATTTGAACTGCAATGACCCAGAAATTGAGTGTTTCATTCAAGCAAAGACTCTCACCTGAGAAATTCATTCTCTTAACACAAACCTGCCATACCTGAAAAGCCACAAGAGTTAACACCACTTGGAACAGCACAGGCGCTGAGTGATAGACTCCTCTTCTAAGAGTAGCTTAGAGCCTCCAGGAAAATTTTTTTGCACCAAAGCCCTATTATCCCTTTTTCTTTTTTTTTCTAATTTGGGGACATTTTGCTTTGAAAAAAAAATGAAGTTGAAAAACAGCAAATGTAAGGGTTATAAAGGGTGTTCTTTCACTTCCATCCACTGTCACCATCTTTMCAAAGTCACTTTCAACCTCAGCACACATGAAGATGAAATCTTCACTTGGTTTTCTCCCGAACTAACATAACCAGTAATTCTCTTCATATACTCAAAAATATTTTCTAAAGCCCATCCTAAAGGGCTATAATTCATTCTTCACATTAATGAGCTAATTAAAACATTATGGCATTTCTAAAATGATAATTGTTTCATGGCCTCATAAGGATTCCCTTCTGGAGGAATTGTATTCCAGAGAGCCAAAGTTCAGCTGATTGGTATTTCAGAGGCTGGGAGACTCAAACATTCACACCTTGAGCTCCAGTCTGTGCAGGGGAACAGAGGCATCCAGCTGTGGTGAGAACAAGCAGCAGYATTCTCATGAAATGTCCACTCTCTCTGGGCTTACTGGAAACTCTCCTGACACCCAGCCAAGGGAAAGCACCTGGCTACTGGCAGGGAAGAGGCATTTTCATCACTCCAGCAATTCACTCCTTGAACTTCTCACAACCTGCATATGAATCCTGCTAATTCAGGACCAGAGCTGTGCTTGGGAACAGTGTTCCACACAGTAGCTGAAGCTGTAAAGCATGCAGCTGTCTCCCCACTCCCATGAAACGCATTGTTTTGTGCCCAAAGCAATTGCACAGGGAGTGCCCCAAGCACAGCCCTGCCCCACTGGCACAGGACACAGCTCCCAGCTCCAGAGCTGGAACAGGCTGGGACAAGCCCCTGCCCAGGAGCCATTACTGAGGCACAAACTGCAGAGCCAACTTGCTCCTCCTGCTCCCAGAGCTCACCTGCACCCTGCTCCCACACAAACAGCTCCAGGAGGGGAGCTCAGAAACAACAAAGCACAACAGAAAGCAGTCTGGATTCATGTTTATTGAAGCCAGTAATTAAAGACGTCCTCATTTTGCCAGCACTA